AACGGTTTTTTAGCATTGAGGCACTGCTGAATGTCGCAGTATTTGTCTGCCAGTTCTTAATAAAAGTGCAACATTTCATGAATATCAAGACAAGAGTTGTGGCACAAACACTGATGACCACATAGTTCTGTTGACAGTGTCCTTTCATAACATACAAATTTATTGATCTAGTGTTCCGTCTATTTGCTTGTGTAGAAAAAAATGCCAGGCCTGCCCAGAATGTGTAGCATAATTACAGCGAAAGCTAGAAGAGCGGCCTTTCAGAGACTTCTCTAAACACTTCTTGGGTAACTGCTACAAGCACACTGCTGGGTATCCTCTATAACATAAATAATTATAATTTTTGTGCAGTAGGGCCGCAATCACCATGCTATCCTTCATCATTCTTTGAATAAGCGTGATATCCGCTACACAGTTGTTAAGAATTTTGTGCAATTGTTTATGCAGTGGCTGAAGACGAAGAATTATGGCTGAAGTGGGTATGTGCCTCAGTTAATAGGTGATAAAGAACAAGTTTTCTGATAGGTTAGATCATTGGACGACCCACTCGTTACGCAAATCGCATTGTGTGATGCTTGGCTGTTCCTTTGATGTTCTAAAATGCTTTATTACTCAAATTAACGCGATTAGTTTCCTGACACCAAGCCAGCCTAAGGCCAGTTTAGAAACAAGTTCTAAGCGCTGCTGTGGCTTAGTGATGGAATACTGGGCTGGCATGCAGCAAACCCAGGTTTGAATCCCATTGTGTCCTTGGTGCTTTTTAATTACCAAGTTTTTTTTTTTCTGGTTATGGAGAAGTGGGTATGCGCCACAGTTAATAGTAGAACAAGAAGAAGCTTTTGTAATGGGTTGGAGCATTGGACGACCCTCTCATTACGCTATTCGCTTTGTGTGACAACTGGCTGTTCTTTCACTGTTTTAAAATGCTTTATAAGTCGTATTAATGCGATTACTTTCCCGACATGAAGCCTGCCTAAGGCAAGTCCCAAGCATTGGTGTAGCTCAGTGGTAGAATACTGGGCTGGCACCCAGCAGACTCGGGTTTGAGCTCCAATCTGTCATTGGTGCTAGGTTTTTTTTTTCTAATTTCGCGCGATGTGGTTACGGACACTGGCGGCGGCAGCGGCGGACAACTGCATGTGACGCGAGTTGTGATCTCATAACAGCTATCGCTGTAAAATTTAGCTGTGCCTCCAATATGCTCCAATATGTACATTTTTACAGCTCCCGACATTTCTCGAAATCACGAGTCTTCAGTAGCCTGATTCACTTGGATGACCATGTATTAATGACATGCTTTTTACTACTAAAAATTCATTGACGCTCTCCTACCATTTCTCCTACCATTGCCTATCGTATGTGAGACATGTTGTACTATACACATGGGAATGCTTGGGAGTAGATGTGTTTGGATCCCCGATTTTTTAAAGGAGTCTCTACTACAACACCATGTAGAAGTAGACATTTTGTATTTTATTATCACAATGACTTCTGCTAATCTTCATTATATATTATGCAGGCTTCTGTAATCAGCAAATTTCGAAAATGATTGATGCCACCAAATGCTAGCGAAATCTAAGCTAGAATATGGTGTGCACATACCCCTTGAATTGAGCATCATACACACCATTGTAAGTCTAGTTCATATACTGTGAAATGTAAGAGGTAGTTTTCTGACTGTATCAACACATGAGGAAAACTGAGGAGAGCTAGAAGAGCACTGCACAAGGACTGCACATGTGGTGCACATGTCGTGACACCATGTTTTCCATGAAGGAGCATACTTGCAGGTGAGGCCGAGCCCCTCATTCTGTGGCATGTTGCAGAGTGCTTCTAAAGTCTGCTGCAAGGTAATCATAGCTATGCAGGTGGCTGAGTGCTTCGCGTTTCAGACATTGCCATTGTCGAGTGAGAGACACAGCCCTCAGGAGGATGCCAACCTGAGGTGAAAATGACCAGGAGGACGTGTGCGGTGAGCGGACGCTGCCAGTTACTTCTGGGCACTGTGCGAGCTCTGTTGCCAAGACCCGTGCCTTCATCCCCTGACCTCAGAGATAAGTCATCTGTCACAGCCTTCGAGAATGAACAAAATGGTAATCTGCCTCATATTCAGCAATACGTAGTATGGCAAATAGATCTCGTTTTCTTTGGAAGGGGATGGTTGCTCCAAATGGTGCCAATATAATATAGCTGAATCTGAGGTCAGTACTCGGATCTTATCTTGAGCTAACTAGCAGTGCCACCGTCAATCAATAGCACCAAATAATAAATTTGTCATTTGGCTTCAGTTTCATGCATAGCTTTTAATTTGAAAAACTGTGTGAAGTGGCTCATTCAAATAATTTTCAACCGTAAAAAAACTCTGCTGGAAACTACGGTTGGAATGAATGATGTTAAAACTTGTGATTTTGCTCGAAGCAACCTCCCACCCTGTTTGGGAGATTTTCAAGAAAGCTTGAACCCTCAGCCCATTACTGCCCCTCCACTGATGCAATGATGCAAACAAAGAGCTGATTAGGTGGACCCAACCAGAAGGACCAGGAGGCAATGAGGAAGGCAGTTAAGATGGGAATGTAAAGAGAAAACATACTAGCATTTTATACTGCTCTTTAGAATGAATTGAGCGACTCAATTGATCAAGTGATTTGGAAAATGTTTACAGGGCATGAAGCTGTTAGAGAATACTAAGAGGGACGTTCATGGTCTCAACCGAGGAGCTATTGAACGTGTGAATAAACAAGTTGCTAGTGTCCTTGTTCCTCTTAGAATGCTCTCTTCTCCTTCTGAAAATCAAAGGTGCAACCTTTCTCACGAATGAGTGTCAGGAATTGCTTTTGCGAATTGCAGATACTACAATGCCTGAAAAGTAGTTGTCGCATTTTCTTGACTTATATCCTAGTGGCCATTGCACACATTTGCGATATCATTGGTGCTTGCACTGCTTTTTAATGCAAGACTCATAGCTTTGCAGGAACAAGCCAAAAATGGCTCACTACAATCACAATGCCCAGTGATTTGTACTTTCACAATGTTGTCCTCCTCCATGCACAATAACAATGATTGCAACTGTGGCACCATCAAGACCGCATGCATAACAAGCTTGTGACTGCCACAAAAATTCAAATTTGCAACTGTCACTTCCCAAGCATGTTCATCAGCATCACTAGTTCTTGAGCCCATATGGTACATATTGCTACTCAATTTTCTAAATGGTTTCATTCTAGCTTATTTAAGTTTAAGTTATGCTGTAACTCCTCCCAATTAAGAATTTAACCAATACTTGATCATCAAATTAGAGTACCTATGATTTTGTTCATTTGTTATCTGATACACAAACCAGTCCATCAAAGCATTAAGTAAAACACTTAAATTATTTCATCAGAAGTTCCCAAATGAGAATTCCACAGGCATTTTTTAGCAAGAGAAACTGTAGAATTTTGCACATTAAACCTTGCAATACACACGTAGCTTGACATTGATATTGGCAAAACATTTGCAGCAGGATGCACTGAAAAAAACATGCAAATGTAAAACTACATATGAGTTAGCAAAAGGCCCCAATCAAATGTATTTGCTCCGCACTTGCCTGTAATGCTGATATGCTGCATATGAACAGCACAAGGTTTTCCACAGATTTTTCCGTATCATTAACTTCACTTGTAATAGATGCATTTAATTGTTGTAAGGCATCTAAGCCATCCAGTCAGACAAAATGCACATCGTAAAATGCAGTGCACTGTAATCCAAGTTGGCCGAGCTAGGTATTTGACACTCTTGAATTCACAGTCGAATTGGGCGGTGTGACAATTCCACTGTTTATCAAGATAACAAACATGGATGTAGTGAAGTCCCTCTAATATTAGGCTTCTGCAAATAGTGAATTTTAGGTTTAAAGGGAATTGAAAGTGAATAGTGATTTTGGTCAAGTAATTTCGAATCGAAGAGGACATATCGCATATTACAAAAAAAAGATGGCCATATCTGTCTTGACCAGACTAACCTGCACAATATAAAAAAAAATAATACATCAAAGCCTGCGAAAATGCCATTCTGTTTGGTTCAAAGAAAGGAGAAACAACTTTGAATAGAAACAGGATCTGAATTCTATCAGAATGCTCATGATAACCTCTAGGATATGTTAGGTTCTAGAATTTACTATACTCAGAGCATATAAACCAATATAACCAGCTTCTGAACTTAAAAAAAAATGAATTGATGTAAGCGTAATATCTTCATTTAAGCTTAAAAAGGGCTTCATGCCAGTGGAGATTCTCCCTAAATATCATGTTTTCACAGCTTAGCACTCCTGCACTGCACTTAAAATTTTTTCACAGGGATTATATGCAGACAAATATAGTACATCTATTTTTTAATTATTTTTTTGATGCCCCGCCGCAGTGGTGGTAAAGGTACTCTGCTGCTGGCTCGCAGGTCGTGGGGTCGAATCCCAGCTGTGTCGGCTGCATTTTTGAAGGAGACAAAAATACTGTAGGCCCATGTGCTCAGATTTGGGTGCACGTTAAAGAACCCCAGGTGGTAGAAATTACTGGAGCCCTCCACTACGGCGTCTCTCATAATCAAATGGTAATTTTGGGATGTTACACCCCACATATCAATCAAATCAATCTAATTTTCATTTTGAATAATTTTGAAAATTTTGGTTTTATATATTCAATTTAAAGCTAATTCAAATACTGTACTATTTGTTCAAATATTCGCACAAGCCCATCTCGTAATATGTTTCTAGGCAATACCGGCACATAAAGGATGTGCAAATTACAAGTATAGGACAACTTGAAAGACTTTTGGTCAGATTAAGTCATTATGCAAAGCTTAATGATATAAAGATCCATTGAATTTGTCTTATGTTGGATCTCTCATTTTCAGTTTCTTTATTGTGATGAAATTCTTGTACCACTAGTCCAACGATTTGCTGTATTCTGGTTTGAATGTAAGAATAACAAAAAAAAAAAAAAGAAAAGGAGAGGACAACAGACACATTGAAGCTTAAGTGCACTTTCAAGCTTTAATTTGAAAACGTAACTTCCGTGTCTTTTTTCCAGAAAATCCCGACTGTGTGAGTGGGCAACAGTGTATTTATGTACACACAGTTCTGCACATGCTCACTTGGCTCGTTAACGCCTTTGAACACTCCCAGCAACTCCCCTCTAATGGATGTCAGGTTGTCTCACAAACTCATTCTAGTGAAGAACAAGGGCTGGCTAAAACAAACAAATCCTGTTTGTTGGAACAATAACAGGCATTAGAAACAAGAAGAAAAAAAAAAGAGGGATACAATGCGATATAAAATTTAATGCACTCTCATTTAAATCTCAGTGCCATAAAACCAGGTAAAAGCTGTTTTCAGCAGCGGCAGCTCGTTGCTTAAGTACTGCGTTCACACCTTCCTAGCTAAAAACTATTAACATAACTACACACGTGTTCCAAGGGTTCAGTAATCACTCAGCGTGCTGTGCTATATTATTTGGCTCGCGTGCTGTCGGGAGCCTCTACTACCCAACAGCGTTTTCTAACCATGCTGAAAAAGTGTTGCAGGGCCCCTTTAGTTTAAGCACAAATTGAATGGAAATGCCTAGGCCTACATTCAACGAATGAACTTTTCATATGTTATGCCTCTAGGCTTTCAGATACCTCTGCTGTGGTTTTGTTATCCCACTAATTCCATCAGTAGTAGTTACATGTACTAGCACGCCTGTCACAGATGAAAGGCCACAGGAATTTCACAGAATATGAGCCCCACCTGTGTGTGCCACTTCGAACAAGCGTCCATAAATGTTTTTGCACTGCTAATAAAAAGATAGTCAGCAAGCATGGTTTCCGACAGCACACACATTGACCATGGTTTAAGATAATCAAATAACTAAGTTGTGTCTATGCATGACTACTAAACTCTGAGAAAAAAAGTAAGTCCACAGGGAAATTTGCACTGGATTGTCTTCTGCAGTGGGCAGTAGTGCGAATGTCTGTTTAAGGTTTGCTGGGGTCTGTGAGAATCAAAAAAAGGATTTGCAGAAGCTGACTAGCTTAGCCGCGGGTGCAAGATTCAGGGGAACTGCTGTGCTGTGTTGAATATGCATGCAAAAAATAAGTTTCAAAATTTCTCTCAAAATGCTAATGATGATGTAAGAATGAAAACTGAATGTTTCTGTCCCTCACTTACAGCTTTGATAAACTGCTTTAGCAGAAAAGTCCATTGCTGATGGCAGCAAGTTTTTTGAGAGTCACTGAATTTTTGCACAAAGCCAAACCAACTACTTGAAAATCATTTTAACTTCGTGCACACGCCCAAACTATGGTCTGCCCAATTAACATCACTATCCTAGATTAACATGACCTTTGTTTAGGGGCAAAGTATAAAACTAATACCAACCAACCTTTCCTGTAGGCCTGAAATCGTATATGATCACTTCGTTCATTCAGATCAAACGCATACGGGTGGATTGATAACAACTAGAACACTTTTGCTTTAGATGGGGCTTGCGATGCTGCACTCCATAATTGCCTTTATACAGGGCAAAAAGAGACAAAGCGAGCGTCTCGCTTTGGGAGTACATAAAAAATCAAGAGAAACACCAAAGAAGTCAGGGTAAAGCGCCCTTTTGAAGAAGGTCTTGAAAGCACGCTGGCTCCTAAGAGAACGTCACTGGATGTACAGTTGAACGACGTCAATCCACTGCAGTTAAACAGCGTGGTGGACCACATGATACAGAGCTCCCCTTGCGTAAACAGTCTACCTGCCTTCAACAAGGCTGTTTAGCCGTGGCAAGCGCCGCTGGCTTGCCAAGCAGCAGATCAAAGCTCTTGCCCGCAAGCTCAGCATTAGTTCAATTCGCTCGCGCATTACGTATGAACCAGCCACCTTGATCGAGGCAGGTCGATGCCGGCACGAGGAACGGAGCGGTGGAGCCAGCAAAAGGACAAAAGTGGTTAAAGGCAACCAGGAAGACGCTGCCCATTTCATTGTTTGCTGGGGCTCACAGCCTGAGCTCCTTGTCACTTGGCAGCGGCTCAAAGTAGGAGTGGACTTTCTCGTCGGTGACTTCTTCCAGGGTTTCAGGGTTCCATTTGGGAGTGCCCGTGCGGTCGATCAGCACTGCACAGATGTAGAACAGGACGTTGAAGTCGAGCCAACTACACGCTATTTCTTGGACAACTATTGTCCCCTGTTGCCATTACCAGCATGAACATTAAACACGTGCGCTTGCTGTACTTCCAATGTGGAATACAGCCATAACTTTTTTTTGGCAAGCATTCTGTAATAACATCATCACAACATGGGTTCTGATAAGGCTGTTCGCCTGAAACTGCTCTTCTTAAACAAAAAGAAATAATTTTGGACAGTATTGAGGCCGAGAAACTAACACTGAGAGTACCTTTAGACTTCTCAAAACCTTTCGACAGAATAAACCATGCAACTCTATTAGGTAAGCTAAATTGTTATGACATATCTGCAATAGTTTTAGATTTAATTAGAAGTTACATAACAGATAGAAATCAGCATGTACCAATGAATAGACATGTTTAAAAGTATTAGGAAGGGTGTGCCTCGGGGGAGCATACTGGGTCCACTATTATTTGTTATGTATAAAACGATATTGTGAATGTTGATGATTCAATTAACTACATTATTTACACTGATTATACCAGTTTCTTCGTTTCAGGAACCAAGAATGATGAACTTGTACATTTTGCAAATGAAGTACTAAAGAAAATACTATATATTTTGTCGGTAAAAAACTCGCACTACAGCTTACCTAAATGTTTTAACCGCCATATTCATGCATCGGCCTTAACTTATCATAGTAAGGCTACTTATAATAGGAAGAAAACAGTATAAAATAAGTACAAGGTGAGTGTCAGAAGCTTGCCTTATTTTGTGATAAGTGTGCCTTATGGAAGACATTAACTCGCCAAGTATCGACCCTGGCGGCAGGGTTAGATAAGTTTTTGCTACAAAATCATTACCTCGAGCAGCAATCATATAGCTTTATTGCAAGAAACCAGCAACAGTATGCACAGAAGCCGCCATACACAAACAGCAGAAATGCTTGGTGAGGCACCGACAGTTTTAGGTGAAATACACGTTTTTGGTCTGGCCAAGTTGCTCAACCCTCATCGACACAATGAGGTTGTCAGGTCACTTTTGTTATTTTGACGTCTTGTATGTTCTTTCCGTGTTTGGTGGTGTTATTGTGTTCGCTTAAGCGTTTGCCGTTTTCTTTCACTTTTTGAAAATTTTCTGCAGATTTATTTGATAGTTTGAGCAGTTCTACAGCATTTTTTTACGTAGCAGCATTTATTGTGGAATGGTGCACTGAATTGAACTTCACCGATGAAGTGGCTATGTGCTGATGGATTTTGTCAACAAGTACCAAGGGGAACGCAGTGTGCCTTCAGAAAAAATAAAAAGACATGCCAGCAGCTTGCGATAGAATTAACAGCCAACACAATGCCCTGTACAGCCAGCCAAACTACTTGAAAAGTGTTTGCACCATTTCGGGAAGTTCTACCGGTACGAGAAAATGTGTTTTTGCAATCATTGCTGATATCCGCTATACTCGTGACAAAGTCGGCTACGTACGAGGCTGACAAGATCGTCGCTCCTAAGTTGACATGCAAACTTCATAAAAATGCAATGCAATAAGCAGCGCCATGAGACGCATCACAGTGAACCCACAATTGTGGATGTTTTCCTGCAGAAACAGCGCAGCGAACAGATTCTTCACGCCGCTTTTTGTTAAGCCAGCACAGCATAAAAATTACTGCTTGAGGCAATCAGAAGTGGACGGTGTTTCAAAGAGCACATCAATGATCGCGTACGCCATGCAAGATAGGAAGAGGTACATGACATGAAGTGCAAAGAGGCTTTGGAAGAGGAGACCAGCTGACGAGCAGAGGGTAGTGAAGGAAAAAGTGAAAGGAGCGACTGCCGCATTTCGACCATCAAACGCGTCTAAGTACGCTATTAGGCACCTTCGAATGCACGACTTTTTCAGTGTGATCGCGCGCGCACGCGTGGACAAGTAGCGGCCTCCCGCGGCGATCTCAGTAACGAGCGAGCGCGCCATGCTCAAATCAGCCAATGGCTGATAGATGGGCTTGCTACGTGTGATTTTTGGGCATATTCCGTGATTTGTCGAGAGAAGAGAAAGCAATTTTTAGCTGACTTTGATAATTTATTGTGAATTACAGGCCGTGTGCTGTGCTATAACATTTGGCTCGCATGTTGTCGGGAGCCTCTAGTACCGATCGGCAGCGTTTTCTGACCATGCTCAAAAAGTGTTGCAGGGCCTCTTTAAGGAACACTGCCTTGCCTGAAGCTATCAGTAGTTTGTTAACTTAACGACTTTCTCAGCTCTTCACCGACCCGATGAATCCTGTAGACAAGTGACATGCTATAATTCGGGATACAAGACCTTAAGAGTGCAGCAGCCTTGTGCATATAAGCTGCAGCACCTGTCTAGAGCAGGAGTGCTCGGTCGTCGTGGGATTTGGAGGGGTACAAGTGTAAGCACAAATGTGCAGACCACCTGATCGCATGGCCAAAGACATTGACAGGCTATCTAGTGACGAGACCTGACAAGGCACCTGCTGGAGTGAGCATGCGCGTCTCGTCATATCAGTTAGCCTCTCATGTCGCTCTCTCAGACGGGCTCGTAGGCAAAACGACCGTGGTTGTCGCTGTCTTAGCGCTATCAAATTTGTGCAGTTCTTTTTTCCTTTTCTTTTTTCTTTATGTAGCCGCTGCGACGGCACAGGTTCCAGAGCTGGACTCGCGTCTTTATTTATACCCGTTTATTAGCAAACCTAAGCGTAGCCAGCCTCGCGAAACCTGCTGAAGCCAAGCACAGAAAATCAAGTTTTCTCAGCTCAGTTGCCATTGTTGCTTTTGGTAAAGTTGAACATAAATGAGCCTAGTTATGAAGCAAGTGCAATAAGTACGAAGGCATAAATAAATTCGTTTTAAGGGTTATTGATGATGTTTGATGTTTTGTGGCGCAAGGGCCATTTCACGGCCAAAGAGCGCCAGTTCATCTTACTAAAAACATGGACAATGATTGTGATAAGCGGCTGTATAAGGGCCATAAAATTCCTCGCGGTAAGGCGGGTAAAAACATACAAGTAATAAAATCATGACCATGCCGTGAAAGGTGTGTGTGTTGTGAATAGATGACAAAAGTTGGTGATAATAAAAAACGATGGTGGACATGTGTGGCATTAGCACAAGTGCCTCACTCGTTCATACCCTTGCGTCCAAGGGCCGTGAGGCAAGTGCTTTCTTGTGTAGCCACCGCAGCAAAAACCTCTCTGGAGAGGTCGTGCTACGGAATGCCCAGGTATATGATATGAAAACTATGAATTTCTTTTAAAAACGCTAACAATCATTTATGACTAAAAAGCGGTTCCCTACCGACGAACTTTGCAGGGTGTAAAGGTATATGCTGTCGGTAGGGTAATGGAAAATGTTGTTTTCTTAAAGTTTCTAACTCTTTGCACTGGATTAACATGTGTAGGACCGTTATCATCAGTCACACAATGGTGGATCGCCACCGGACAAAAGATATGTGAGTGTCGAGTATGTGTGCCCCATCCTGAGCCTCGTTAGTATTACCTCTGTATGACGCGATTTTGATACTGGCAGCCAATGACCAAGGTGTGGCTTAATAATGTGCAGTTTGTTTTGTGTGTGTCTATCTCACTTACTCTGCCAGTAGTCCCTGAGGTTTCGTTTGAAAGACGGTTTAAGATCAAGGGCCGGGATTGATATGGGTGTAGGAGCAGTGCTTTTGTGGACGGATGCAGTGAGCTGATCCGCCCTCACGTTTCCTTGGATCTCACGGTGCCCTGGCACCCAGCACATTACAACATGTGTGTAGAGTGTGCATAAAACGGAGTAAAGTGAGACAAGGACTGGTTTTTTTTGTTTTTTAAGCGTGCGCAAAGCCGTTACCACACTGAGGGAGTCCGTATAAATTACTGCTTTTTGTATTTGTAATTGCTTGATGTGTTTAGCCACCCCAAGTATCGCATAAGCTTCCGCTGTGAAGATACTTGTGCCTGGATGTAGAGGGCCAGCATCGGAAAAGGATGGGCCGACAGTAGCGTAGGACACAGAGGAGTTAGACTGGAAGGCATCTGTAAAGAACTCAAGACGTGTGTATCTGTGTTGAAGTTCCAGGAAGTATGTTCGGATATGGGCAATAGGCACATGTTTTGTAAATTCTAGAAAAGACACATCACTGTCTATAGTCTGCCACTGCCACGGTGGCGGATATGCTACAGGAGCCATTAAACTGTGTTCATGTGACATCCAGTTTCCTCAGCTAGACCCTTCAGCCGAACTGAGAAGGGCTGCCTCATCGAAGGCCTGTTTTGAAACAGAATGGAGCTCGACAAATCATTAATAGTAGAGTATGAGGGGTGCTTCTTGTCTGCTTTCACCTTAAGGAAATAAACAAAGGACATGTAAGTTCTCTGCAGATGAAGCGACCATTCATTTGACTCAACGTAAAGGCTTTCTACGGGGCTGGTGCGAAAAGCACCCGCAGAAAGGCGGATGCCCAAATGGTGCACGGGGTCCAGCATCTTCAAAGCACTTTGAGTCGCAGAATAATAGACAACGGCCCCATAATCTAAGCAGGTGAAAATGAGGCTTCTATACAGATTCATGAGACATTGCCTGTCCCTACCCCACGTAGTACGTGACAACACTTTTAAAACATTCATGGCTTTTAATCATTTTGTTTTTAAATACTTGATGTGCGGTACGAAGGTCAACTTGTTGTCCAACATTAAGCCTAAGAATTAATGCTCCGCATTAACAGACAGACGTTGACCGTTCAGTTCAATGTCGGGTTCTAAGTGCATGCCTCTCTTTCAGGAGAACAAGACACACGTGCTTTTTTGTGGGTTCAGTCGGAATCCATTTTCCTCTGCCCATTTGGAGACCTTGTTTAAACCTAACTGAACCTGCCGCTCACACATTGCCAAGTTGCATGACTTGAAGCCAAGCTGAACGTCGTCGACATATGTACAATAGAACATATTGCGGGGGATGAACAGGTGCAAGGAATTTATTTTGATAATATAAAT